GTTTTTAAGGGGGGGGGGGGAATCATCGAATGACTTCTCCCGCCTGGGTGAGGCGGGAGGGAGGGTCAGACTCTTACTGACTAAAAACCACCCCGTTCCTTCTCCTGCACGTCGAGCCAAAGCCCCGGTAAACCGTAACCAATACTTTTATCAGGTTCATGGTAGTCAAACACGTACTAGACCAGCACGTATGTAAGAGATAGCTCCCTGCCACACCCAAGTAAAAAAATAACTCAATAACTTATAAAAATGTGGCTTGTGTTAAAGTCAGCATTTTTCAAAAATTTACTTAGACTAAGGTAATAGGTTAATACTAACACGTATTGTTTTATTTAGCTGCGTAATATGGTCAACATTGACACAAACTTCGATAGTAATTTCTAGTCCTTTAAGTGGCTTTCAGACCTTTGACCCTTATCTAAAATCAGCTGACTACCCAGAGTAGTTTGTGAATTAATAATTGTAATATCCAGCCGTGTGGATATAGGCTTCGGTACTTTGTTGCTTCACTGAGCTCAGGTAGACGTGGAAATTGTCTGTTTCGTGTCACTGTTGTATGTATAAATAGGCAGTCACATCGATTGTTATGTGAAATTTTTTGTAAGTAGGACTAGAGATGAATGTTTATACGTATTACTATTACATTATCATAGCTAATGAAATGACATTTAAAACTAATTTATGCAAACTAGTAGGTAATTACTGTTTTAAACCGTTTGTGTTCGAAACATTTGGGCCACTAAGTTTCTTCGGACAGAAAATAGGCATTACCATTCCACGTGACAATGTTGCCAGTTTTCTAGGAATGTTCCCTGGTGACAGTGATGTCGACGAGTACTTTGATGCCTAATTAAAGGTTTTTTTAGTCGCTTATTTTTTTTGAGACTTCTATTGCGGCATTCTAGGCATTAGACAGGTAAAGTACAATAAATTCAAAGTGATGGTATATTGTATACAAAGGCTACTAGGTATCAGCTTTTTACGTATGTATGAGAATTTTTCCCCGCTCTTTTCAGGCATTTTGTGTTGTCGGAACATAAATCTGTCAGCTCAGAGAGTGCCTTACAGTACATATACTAGGTAGATATGTATCTTTATGTTTGAACAGTGGAATTATATACAAGTTTTAATATAAAAACAATATTATTAGTTGGGATCATAGAGTTTTTTGTTTAAGACAGGAGTCATTTCTTCTTGGTTAGTACTAATTTCAATCAAACACGAGGTTCGATTCCAGGAAATCCAAATTACATTACAATACGGAGTTTCTATGTACTTAAATAAGACTGGGGAAATAGTTCAAGTCGTTCAAACCTAAAATATGCCTTATATTTTCCTAGCCTTTCCTTTATGCTTATTTTCATTCACGAAACTTCTATGAGACGAGTTATTTATCAATAACTGTGTAAAGTGCGTAAGCATGTAAGTTCTTCCTGAACCGCATATTTAAGGTTATATTACACCTAATCGGCAATTGTTAAGTGCCTTGAGACATACTAAATATGTGTAATTAAGCATTGAATGTGTCTATTTTGAGGATTCTTCAGCTATTTTGAGGGGCAAATAAATATACATTCATATAAAACTTTCGCATTTGCAATATGTATTAGTGCATTTTGTTGATTAGTGGTCGAGTTAATCGCATTGCTGATAAAATATTCATAATATCTACTTACGTAATTGGGTACATTCCTAAATCACAAATAATTATTTCGACTGTTCAATACAATAAAATATTTAAAAATAATCACACTTTCATTAAATAATTTTATGACAAACTTAATTTTAGTATTTTGCCACCAATGTTTTAAGAAATGGGTATGCTGGTTTTGCTCAATAAACATGACGTCACAATACACAATCTCGTACAAAATTCAAAAAACTGCCGTTTTTGACAGTTCAAAAAAGTATAGAATTTGACTAGTTGACAAGTACCCAATTATGCACAAAACATATAACTTATTTGGCACACAATATTATAATACGAAGGTATAGGTACACAAGAAACAAATTGAATGACTGCACAGTTGCGCGGTGACCGGGCCACCGGCTGCCTTACAACATGTAGCTGGTTTGATTCCCACACGCCGCAACTATGTGATCCACAAAATGTTATTTCGCATCTAATTGCTACGTGTATGTGAAATTATGTAAACGGACCCACGACGCAGGAGAAGGTTCTAGGGCGGGGAATGTTTAAAAAAGAGCGCATTACTTAATTTTCACAAACCTTTTTAATTTATGGTTATTTGCATACCACAATAAAATTATAGTGTATTCGACTTTAAGTTGGACACCTTTCATTAGATAAGTAGTAATATTATATTATATACATATACATAACTGTTAGTTTTTCTCTGTTCCTGTAGCTGTATTTCATGATATAATTTCTTAATGTTCTCCTTAGATTCCGGGTGACCGTTCATATTTTCAGCTTTTAGCGACTAGCAGCTGTCTACATTGTCAGTCAGTCACTCGCGGTTACTCAATCACTACATCACTCATGGCCAGTTTAAACCTACTCGCCAGTAGGTTTGAAAGAAATGATTCATAATTCTACATTTTAAACAAATCTACCGACAGATGTATATCATGTAGGTGGTTATAGAGACGGGCCGTCAGTCACCAGTGATGATTAAGTTTATGTATTGATTTGATTTTTCGTATGTAAAATTTAAAATCTGTTTGAAATTGGTGCTTAATGTTAGTTATAACGTTAGAGAGCTCTACAATATATGGATTTTGTATAAAATTATAATCAAGTATTGTAACTCTTAAGTCTTTTGAATTACTAACAGGTATAATAGAGAACACGTGCTTAAAACGGCGTTTGTGTAGATATTATTGACTCTCGTCCAATTAGTTTATTAACTTTTAGTTTAGTGTAATTTATCAGCAATATTATTTAGATTAATATTTGTTTCTGTCTACTTGTAAGTACTCATTAGTTGAAATTACGGATATTTACCTAATGAGTTTGGTTCTATTTAACATACAAAA